TTTTTTTTTTTCGGTTAAAAGGTTGCTCAATAAATTAACTGTTAGAAGAGTTTACAGAACGGGGAAAAGAGATTCCCATAGTATTAGCTATTAAAATATTCATTACAAAGTCTGGAATACAATTGTAGACAACAAAAGATTCGTCAAGCATACGGCCCCTATTGGCAAATGCATCAGCGGCTTGATTGGCTTCTCTAAACGAGTGTGAGATCTTGATGTTCTGGATTCGTTCCATCAATTTTCTGCAATCATATATGATATTTCCAAGTGGGTGCGTATCAATGTCAGCATCATTAAGCAGCGAAATAACATTCTTTGCATCAACCGCAATATCTAAAAAAGAGATGCCATGATCAACTGCAAGTGTAAGACCATCCCTTAATCCCCAAAACTCTGCTTGGAGACTAGTTGCACAATGAATTTTCCTTACATATCCAACAAACCATTCACCTGTATCCTTTCTAATAATCCCACCAGCTCCAGAACTCCCGGGATTACCAACTGAAGACCCATCAGAATTCAATTTAAACCAGCCTTGAGGTGGGGGATTCCAGCAAACATCAACCAAAGAACTAACCATTTTAGCAGCAGGAAGACCAATATGAAAAAATTCAACAGCTTTAATGTGGTACTCATTAAAGACTTGGGATGAAGTTAAAACATGCCCTTGAAAGAGTCTGATATTTCTCGATTTCCAAAGTCCCCAACAAATATATGAAAATAAAATATTCCAAGGAATGCCATTCGAAAAAAAAGATGAGGAAAGGTTGCTCGAAAGCCAATCAAAAAGATTCAATTGAGAGAAGAAATTAGAAGGAAGGGAGGAACAAAGATTCCAAATAGAAGTTGCCAAGACACAATTTCTCATAATGTGAAAAGCATCCTCCTCAGAGTCAGGACAAAGATCACAACACAAATCAGGAGAAATATTTCTATGACAGAGCAAGGATTTTGTGCAAATCTTATCATGAGCAAGTAACCAAAGAAAAAACTTTATACGGTTATGACAATGAGTAGACCAAAGCTTTTTCCAAAACATGGGATTTTCAGGTGCGTGATCAAAATCAGCAGCAATATCATAAGCCGAACTAAGAGAAAATTGTCCATTGGAAGAATTATACCAGCAGAAAGAATCCGACACTTCCCCTTGAAAACAAAAAGCAGTAGAAAGAATTTTACTAGAGATGCTCAAAGGGAAACAGAAAGAGATCTTATCAAGGTTCCATTCACCATCATTACCAATACAGTCCTTGACCATTAGTTCTTCCTCACCAAACATAAGAGGTCCAGAAATAAGACTCCTAAGACTATGATTATCCATCCAATGATCATGCCAAAAGTTGGTAGAACCCCCAGATTTAATAACATGTCTACAACCTTTTCTAAAAACCTCCACCCCTTTCATCATGCTGGTCCAAACATCAGAATTGGACCCGACCCTCTTCTTGAGCTCTAAAAGTTTATATTTGCTATTAATGGCTTTGACCCACAGGTCCTCAGGATTTTTTTTAGCTCTCCACACGAGCTTAGCCATAAGAGCAATATTCCTAAGCTTAGCCTTCCTCAAGTTCAAGCCCCCTCTTTTCTTACTCCTAGTGATTCTATCCCAGCCAACAAGATGGATTTTCTTATTTTCCTCACCATCACCCCATACAAAATTCCTTTGAATTCTGTCCACTTCCTCCAAAGTAGCAGCCGGCAAATGAGAGACTTGCATATTATAGTCAACAATGGCTGCTGTAACAGAATGTACCAAGGTGACTCTCCCCGCCAAGGAGAGAGTATGAGCCTTCTAGCCAGCAAGTTTGTCCCTGATTTTCTCAATAACAAAAGCATAGTCTTGTTTTCTAGCTTTACCATCAAGAATAGGATGACCTAGGTAAAGGCCAAGGTTATTGGTCTTTCTAAAGTCTAGATTCCTAGTAATCCTACAGGAACTTTCCTCACTAACAGTAGGGGAAAACCAAATCTTAGATTTGTCCACATTCACTTTTTGTCCAGATCTCTCACAAAAAAAATCAAGAGTATTAAGGATGGACTCACAATTTCTATTGTTGGCTTTAGCAAAGAAAATAATGTCATCTGCGAAAAGGGCATGAGACACTTTGGGATCACCCTTGCCAATTCTAATAGGGCACCAGTTACCAGAGATAACTTCCTTCTCAATACAGAGGGAGAGAAACTCCATGCACAAAATAAATAAATAAGGAGATATGGGATCCCCTTGACGAATACCTCTAGTGGCATGACAACTTTCAGAAGCGGTACCATTAACAATAACAGAGAGAGACGGGTTAGTCACACAAGACATAATAAGAGAGATAAGATCTGAAGGAAATTTGAAGAAAATCAACATATCTCTAATAAAACTCCACTCAAGTCTATCAAAAGCCTTCTTCAAATCAATTTTAATAACCATCCAACCATCCTTGCCCTTACTAGTCCTGGCAGAATGAATAGCTTCCTGCACTAAGATAATATTATCAGAGGCTCGCCTACCAGAAATAAACGCAGCCTGTACAGGATTAATAAGCTCAGCCAAAAGAGGTTTGATCCTGTGGAGATTTTGGACTTTATAAATGGATGATTAAGTAGTTGACACATCATAATTAATTATAATATATATATATATATATATATATATATATTCAAATCTATTCAGAGATACACATATCAACCTTTCTGTATATATAATTTGTTAGACTTCACTAACGAGACAACTTATATATATATATATATATATATATATTGTCTTGGCTTACTTTGTTTATTTTTCCCTTTGTTTTAAATGGACCTAGTCCTAGACTCCTACTAGTCTCATTGATTTGATTTCATGTTTGTTTTTTTTATATGAATCATCATCTCATGGAAACAAGGAATCAATTTCACTCATTTCCAAACCCTAGCCGCCCCTCTCTTTTTCTCTCCTCAAGTTCTTTAGTTTTCTTCCAAGTTTTTTTTTTAAAATACTCCTCCTCCTCTTGATCATCTAAGGGGAGGAAAGAGGTTGATTTTATTGTGTTCTTTCCTTTCTTCAGAATAATCTCCACAGATCTATAGATCTATTGAGTTAGTTGAGCTTTTTAAGTCAGTTTGTTGAGTTTGAGTTAGTTAGTTAGTCACACTCAGTTAGTGTATTTCCGAGTTTACATAGATTGAAGAAAGTTCATCTTAATTTTGATATTATTTTACTTTACGATCTGCGGGTTAATTAAGGTGCTTCTTGAATCACTCACCTTTTATGTCGCTTTTGAAAGTTTTCTGTTGATTAAATTATACAGAAAGAGAGCGAAGAGGTGTCGCACGTGCTAGAAACTTATGAAGATGGTTTGAGATTCCAAATCATCAAGATGGCTCGGGTTGTGAAGCGAGATCAAGATCTAAATGCAAAGGATGAATACTTTTTTCAACCTATTGTAATTTCTAGTTACTATTTTGTAATTTCATTTATATAAATGAAAATTAGAGTATTTTTCTTTAAAAAATATTCACTCATTTCCATCGTACATCTGATTGGTTATTGTCAACACGTTTCCTTCTTTGTCACCTTCAAGTTTTTTTTTAAATAGTAAATGGGTAAATAGTTACTAAATTTGTTTGTAGTATTTTATATTAATGGTTGAAATCTCAATTTGGTACCAAACCTTTATGTTTAATAGTAATTTGGTATCAAACCTTTTATTTCGTCCAATTTAGTACCAAACGTTTTATAAATGGTCCAATTAAGTACTTTTTTTAGGTCTTCCGTTAGAGCGTGAGAGACACGCGCTATGTCACGCGTGAAAAGTTATTTTTCTGACAAAAAATAGCCACGTGGCTAATTTTAAAAAATTAAATCTGAAAAATTAATTTTCAACTTAAGTGTAAAATTTTTAAGTTTCAGAGAAAAAAAAACCCCAAATTTTCGAAAACTTTCTCTACTCTTTCTCTCTCTTCGAACTCGATCGTTCAATCCTTCAAAGATCGATCAATTTCGTTTGTTTTCGAAAACCTAAGTCTAGATTTGGTTAAAATAGGTTGAATCGCTTGTTTAGGTGTTAGTTTAGGGTTAGAAAAATTACAAAATCCAAAAATCCCAAACACCCTAGATTCAAAGAAACCCATTTGTTCTCTCTTGGTTCGATATCAATGCTTTGGTGAGATCAATTCCTTGTTTTTTTCGAAAGTATGAGGTTCAATTGGGTTTGGATCGCTCATTTTCGCTCGATTGATTGGAGGTTTTTTTCGGTGTAAATGGTTTCGATTTAGGGATTTCACTAAAATTTGCTGCTCAATCAAAAGAAACAATGGCAGTTGCATCTTATCTAGCAAATCTAGGTTCCTTTCAACATCAACTGGCTAGAGCTTAAGCATCTACGCCTCTAGGAAGCAAAGGAACCCCATGTTGGTTCGAGGAATGGCTTCCTCATTTGGGTCTAAGATGGAGGATAGGTGTTATCAACTTGATCTCAACAGGGTACTTGTGATCCCATTTCTTTATCTGCAATTTTTTTCCAGCTTATAGAATGAGTTTATTATTGCTAAAATTATCAAGTGTAGGGTCTGTTTCTTTCTTTGTCTTCCAAATGAATACTCCATTGTTTCTGTTGTTGTTGTTACTCGGTCTAAAGCCTCCCCTTTCTTCTTTACTTTTGCCTTCTTTCAGCACTTTCCTCTATGGCAATTAATTAGAGGTGTCAATTTCAAGTAATTTGTCTTCTTGATTCCTTTAAATCCTAAGTATTTCTTTTTGTTTTTGCATAAGTTCAAAAATGGGGTTTTCTATGTTTCTTTCTGCACCTATAAATATAATGGGTTCTTGTTTATGCTAGCTTGTGTATTATTTTTATCTTCCTTTTTTTTTTCTAAAATTTTCACAATTTGGGTTTTGGTTTAATAGTCATGCAATGATGAAAATGGGTGTTTGATCTTGGTTTCATTTTTTGGCAAAAAAAAAATTATTTGCTGTATTTGGTGAAAAATGAGTGTTTAATCTGGGTTTTATTTTGATATATTCATATGTGTTCTTGAAAAAGAAAGAACTGTTATTTTCTTCTTTTTTTTGTTTTCATTTGAACACATTTTTTATTGGTATATTAGTTAAAGATGAGAAAAAAAAAGGAATGAAAGCATTACGTAATTTTTTAAAAAAAATTAAAAAATATTAAAATATTAAAATAATAAAAAAAGCTACATGGATAACGGAAAAGTGGACTTAACGGAGATTTAACGCGCGTGTTGTTCAAACACTGTTGGCAGACCTGAAAAAGTAATAAATTGGACCGTTAATAAAACATTTGGTACCAAATTGGACGAAATTAAAGGTTTGGTACCAAGTTACTATTAAACATAAAGGTTTGGTACCAAA